CTTTAAAGAGCAAGTCATTACAAAACATTTGCATGAAGTTCTCAAAACAAATATTGAAAAATGTTCCAATACTTGTTTTTTGCAAGATGCTTTCACTCAAGGTAAGACAATAACTCTTATTGGTGAATCGACAACTTTGTAAAGTCCTTCAAGGCTTGTCATTGAGACGGTTGTGATTTTGGGCTATACAAAAATGCATTGAATTGAATTAAATTGAAAAGAAAAAAATTACTGATTTTATGATTTTTCACATAACAGAAACAAGTTGTGTCTCCATTATTGACAATACTGTTGATACTAATGTTGATTTTTTACAGTTGTTTAGGATGAATGAAAATTTGATTTTTTTTCCCTCAATTACATCATCACTTAAGGGCAGGCATGTCGTACCCGAATTCTGCCCACAAGACCATTTCGGGGGGCCCCTGAAATGATTTTCAATGATCACTATAACAGTAGCCTTTGGCATTGATGCTAATGAGATACTAGGACAAGGCACACTTAATTTTATCTCAGAAAAACAACCATATTATTTAATATGTTCTAAAATGTTAACTTGACATTTGAACTAATTAGAAGTATATTTCGGCTGAAGATGTATGTTTTATAGTAAACCATCTGTCTTTTGGCCCAGTTGTGGGTGAATCCAAACCTACCAGAAAATAGTATCCAAACTCATGAAAAACTCAACAACAAAAAAACATGTAAAAAGAAATATTGATAATAAATTTGCCCCCCACCAAAGTGAATTTGACACCCCTGCTTTGGGCCAGCACCAGCAACCAAAGTGTGTAAACCATGTGTGTTTGAAAGGCTGTAAAAGCAGTGTAGTTTAGTTGTTATTAGTTCGTCCTTGACTCCTGCTCTACCCTCCTTCTCATCGACACTTTCACTGCCTTTTTGACAAATGATTCATATCTACTGAACATTAACTTTTCATGTTATATTAATGTAGCGGTCGACCAGAGGAGACAGTTATAGGGCTCCTTTAATCATTTATTTCGTCAAATCCATTTCATTTAGGAGCATTGTGTCATGGGGACGAGATTAAAAGATATTTGTACAATTATTTGACATCATCCGTGCTTTTTCTTTCACTTTAATGCAGTCTCATATCTGTGTCTGAGCTTCATGTTGCTTTGTGCTGTCCCCTTCAAATAAAGACTGAACTACATTTCAAAAACCATGGCATTTATTTACGTTACATTCAATAGATCCATATTTTATTAAATTACTAACTTTTACTGCACAAAAATATCCTTAATATGTGTTATACTGTACGTCTGCATGTATGGATGTAGGGTTTTAATTGTTATGTGCCAAAGTAGCATAATTGCTCCTAAATCCAGGACACTTTCTATACAGCGACTAGGCCTCCCACAAACATCCACTTACACAATTATCTTCTATGTATTTCTGTTATTGATTAAAGTAGTCCACTATCTACCATTAAGTTGGTGTCACCTTTTGTCTATTTCCCCAATACATACTCCCAATACATGGCGCATAAAGGGTTAAACAGAGACGAGGGGGGCCTTCTCCTTGGCTCACACATGGGACTCACTTCTCCAGAGACCACGGGGGCATGGGCAGTCTGACGGATCTGCCCCCATATGTCAGACTGACCACATCCGGGAACAACACCGTCATGTGTCACCTCTGACGAAGGTGGAAACATGTCACCGAAACATGTCGAGTAATTGAGCAGTACAAGCTTCTTTTGTCAATCTAAACCAGGTGCTAAACAAAGTATTACAGCATGTGTCATCTCCCTGGTTTAGTTCTATAGAACATGTGTATGATAAATGAGTTTTGCTTTCCTTGTAAGGGATATAATCATTTTTGCAGATGAGCAAACGCCTGATGAATGAGGCTCCATGTTTTCATAAGGGAGGCTCTAAATGTTGAGATTATCTCATTGTGGGAAGTGAAAAACAACTGATACTTTCTGAGGATCACCACCCTTTTGCAATGTTTACAAGAATTCTGTCTCTGTGTGTGTGATAAGGTTTGATGATGATGATGATTCTTTCTCAAAACTTGAGAAAGAATTGCATATTACACTTTTAAAGGGAATTATTCACATGAATTGCAGCACCAATTGAAATACAGCTCTGGTCAGCCAAGGATTTGAATTCCTTTTGTCCAATCAGAGAGCAGAGACAAGAGTGTGGATGTGTAAATTTTACTCTCCATAATTTGAAACATTATTTATTTATTTATTTATTTATGTACTTTTTTTTTTCAGACGGTCATGGAACAAATACAAATAAAGTCAGTTTAAAGAAGAAAAATTAAGTACATAAAACAAACAACCAACATTTACTGTGTGTTCTCGTCTGCCCAAAATGAGGCAACTCAGTCCGTCTGAAAAGGAGTGTGGGAAGTACACTTTCTTCTGTACTTCAGTTCAGTAACATGAAAAACTCCCTCGTAATATTTTTTTTTAGCTCTGAATACAAGATACATTACACAAGACGTCATTGACATTCCCTTTAATGTAATTTATTTATTTATCTAATCTCACGTTACAGTAATAATAGCTTAAACAGGTCTGCCCAGTGCCCCTCCATCTTGGCCGATACCACCCAAACCGCTCATCTGACTCGCAGTGAATTTATAGCTTCCTCAGTCACAGATCCGACGTGACGGTTTGGGGGCGATGCAGGTGTAGCGTTTCGTTTTGTGGAGACAGAGAACATTATTAATAGTCCTGATGTTTACACGGCAGTCGGCTTTGACCCTGCGACGCGGTGGCGCTGCGTTCAGGAGTAGTTGAAAGTCTCGCCTAACACGACCTCTGAACTCCCGTGGCTCCTATGGCGACATGTGCAAATCGTCCAAAGAGCAGAGAGAGTACGAACTCAGGCAATCAGGAAGAAGCGGCTCTCTCCCATTATGCTCCTTGTAAATGGACTTCCCTGCCTAATAATATTAAATGTGATCTGACCCTGAGCTCATTATGAGAGTAAACTACTGACCACATTGAGCTGCAGTCCTGGATAAAAAGTGATATTTGCTAAAAAATATCTTTTTCAAATTGAGGTTGTTGTTTTAATGTTTTGCTTATTGTCTGACCACTACTTTTTCTTAACTGCAATTGGAATACATACACATTGTGGCTATTGTGCAAAAGTGTCTCCATGGGCTTTGAAGCTATAGAGTTAGAGATTTTGTTTTACTTTAATTAGTATAGCTGTTGTGTAGTGTAGCCTATCTCTGTGTTCTACTGTTCTGTAACTTGTGATGCAACACTGACATTTCTCATCATCAAGGTACATCTGTTAGTGCCATCTGAACCAACTCTGAGGGGCACAGGGACTGGTCTCTTGCAAGTGCCCACAGTCAGGACTAAACATGGGGAGGCATTGTTTCAGGTTTATGCAGCTAATATCTTGAAAAGTCTTCCTGAAAATGTGAGACAGGCTTCTACTCTGACCATGTTCAAATGCAGGTTAAAAAACAGTTCGGTGAAGCTGTGCACACGAATTAAGGATTATATCCTTACTCTTTTCAATGCACTGTGATTATGTATGATTGTAATGCCTTGTGCGATTTTAATTATAAGTTCTATTACATGAGCTTTGCATTCAACCATTTTTGTGCATCACTTACAACAATATCATTTATTTATATCCACGGTGAACATTAACCCATGGAAGTACTTCGCTGTGTGTTTCACGTTGGTGGAAAGTGGGCCGAAAGCTTTGCGCTCTATAATTACGTGAGATAATTGCAAACATGAGTGTCTTAATGTCTGTTGTTAACTTCAAAAAAAGACGTGTTTTTATCTACTACCTGTGACGAAGTGTTATCTACTTCAGCAGACGGTTTTCTCACTCCAGCCAGGACAATAATTGGGGAGAACAGATGCGTTTGCCTTTTTATTGGTAGTTGGGTTGCTTCTGAGATTGCCGCCTATTTTATAATACCCTCAATTAAACAGCTCATTAAACTTATCACATAAAGGGCATATTGTTGTTGTTTTGACTCAGTGGAAGGAACGGTTATATCAAAAAGGTGAATTTTATGAATGTTGTAAATTGTTGTCCTTCCCTAAAGCCTTAGGACTTAAAGTGACCAGGTTAATGCAGTGGTCCATGTATGTTTTTTTATTTTTTTTATTAGCCAATTACATATTTTGTCGCCAGAATTGTGCATGTCCTTTGGAAATTTTGATTGGAAATAGACAAAAGCTTGAGCCCTGAAAGTAGATAGATAGATAGATAGATAGATAGATAGATAGATAGATAGATAGATAGATAGATAGATAGATAGATAGATAGATAGATAGATAGATAGATAGATAGATAGAACATAGACTGATACAAGAAAAATAGTGAGGAATAATGTAAGCTTTGTGGGAAGCCATGGAGAAAAAGCCCCAGAGTCATGGGCTCAGAGTAAATCTGCTACTTTGTCACCTAAGGGTTAATTAGCATGTGTTTGTCCAGCAGTTACTTTGGGGAGTGGGAATTATACAATAATATTGTTTTTGTTAGCAGTCAGACCTCGGCCAGATCTCTATCTTCCCAATGGGAAACTGTTTATCTTTTGGATCATGTTTAAGGTCGACTTGGTCAAAGAAGTGTATTGCTCAGCAGTGGTTTGAACAATGGGGGGGGGGGGGGGAAATAAGGTAAAGCTGGGGTACCTAACTTTATCTAATCATGAATAAATAAATACTGTATATGTGGTTTTGGGCTGAGAGCTGATTGGCTGAGTGAGGGTGGTCCTCTCAAAGAGGCGCAAAAATACATGCATGTGCAAACTACTGATAGAACAAACTGGTTTTATAAAAGGTACAGATTTAATTTTTTAATGGACAGATACAACTCGTCATCAACTTTCTATTGTGATTTAGGGCTATACGTAAATAAATGTAATTGAAGTAAAATTGAATTGAATTGAAAGTGGCACACAGGTTGCATTTTCCCCACTGGCCTTAGTTTGGACCTGCCTGATTTAGGATAACGAATCAAAACACTTTAGTGACTTACTGAGGCAGACAGAGTCACTGATGGGCGTGCACTCTTCCAGCTGTGTCTCCGTGTCCTCCTCGCAGATGGTGCAGGGCAGGCAGGGGTCTAAGGAGCTGTCCCTCTCGGAGTAGGTGTCGTCCACGCACTCCTCGCACACCGTGTCGTGGTCGTGGGAACAGTGCACGAACACCCCCTGACCCATGGGGCAGACGGTGCAGGGCTCGCACTGCCCCGAGATCTCGCTCAGGAAGAAGTTGTAGTTGCAGACACAGATGGCGTCGTTGGAGTCGGTGCAGGGCGTCTCCATGCGCATCATGCCCGTGCACTGCGTACAGGCCACGCACTCCTCTGTGTGGCTGTAGTTCTCTGAGTAGGTTTCGCCTAAAGGACACAAGGGGGAGGGCAGACTCAGGTGAGCGCTGGATTCTGATGGAATAATCATTCATCAGTTTGAGCAGAAAAGAAATCAAGCAGGACAATTAAGATAAGATAAGATAAGAGGACCTTTGTTTGTCCCACAGAATAAGTAAGAGCACACAAGGAGCACACAAAATATACAACATGCAGCTGCAATATTTCTTAGCTTGCTGTAAATGTTTCAATATTGTTATTAATATTGAATAGAATAGACACAGAGAGAGGGCAGACACAGAGGTAGAGCAGAAACAAGAGGGAGGGCAGACACAGAGAGAGGGCAGACACAGAGAGAGGGCAGACACAGAGGTAAGCGGCGGCTTCCAATGGCATTAATCATGTTTACTGCTCATTGATTCCACAGGGGAACGCATCGATCCACGGGGCTTTGCTGGAGTGCCCCGGGACGACTGAGGTGCTCTTGTGGAGGACGAGTCTGAGGCCTGCTGGGATCATTTCTCTATCGATTCCAATGAGTTTGTGCAAACAGCTTTAATCTCTGCTACAGACTCACTCACTGACTCTGAACTTGAACTAAACTGTGACGTAGGTGTTACTGCAATTCGGACACCAAGCCTCTGCCACAAACATTTGCAGCGAGATATCGTGATTGGGGTCTTTGCAATACGTAAAACAATGATCGTGGCTTCTTTAAAACGACAATACATTTTAAGTGAAAAAATCCGATACAGAATAGCAGTTCGATGTGCTTTGTGACTAGCCATAGGCATCATGGAATGGGAAAAAATACAGAAAAGAAATACAGCTATTGCACTTGGATTTTTGTCCTGCTATCACCTGCTTTTATTTTGAATACAATGGGGAATCAGCCAAAGGACATTGTATAGTAATATAAAGGGCATTGTGAACATGCACGTCATTTTCTATGTGTCTAAAATAGCTATGTTAATGCATGTAATACTGGTTTTTAAAGACGTCATGTTTCAGGACAATGTATCCGTTTCCAGGTTTTAGAATGCCTATCCGATCATCGTGGAGATTCTGGAGGCATTTGGCGCGACAAACACCTCTCTTTCACCATGGCAGTAGTCTCCTTAGCTCTGTAATATCGATGTGCTTTTGTTCAAAGAGCTTTCTTTCATCACAGAACAAGTGTCTCTGTGTCAATTGTCCCGAAATAGGTCCATAAACGATAATGGAGACTTCAATGGCCGAAAATTACCCGACGTCTAATATTTCTCAGTTGAAGATTCACCAACTGCTTGTCACTAAGAGCTGCTATCGCTTTGCCTATAATGTTATGGCTGTGCACTCTCCCTGTTGAAATAAAAAACACCCGATAAAGGCCATATCTGTGGAGAGGTCACCACTCATCCACTGTGAAAAATGGTGTAAGTTTCAGGAAAAAAACACGTCATTTAATCATTGCAAGCTATTTTAATGGTATATGGTCAAGGCTAACAACTATTTACTCTCAATGAAACATATCTGTACCATGTCAGCCTATCACTCTAACCATTCATTTTAACCGACTATAAATAGCTTCTATAGATTATTGTTAAAACTAATTTACATTATAACATAAATCAAATAAAGCAGGCTAATCCTATGAAGCTATTTTTCGATTCATCAAAAAGAATGCGTTAAGAAAAAGAGATGGACATTACGGTGATATTTAGACATATTAAACCAGCTACAGCTAAAATGACATTGTTTTACCAAAAAAACAAAAATTTGTCAACAATTGGAAAGAAATTTTACAGACAATAATTATTGAGACCCAAATTATAGTAATGTATCCATCAGTTATTGGATGATAAGTCAATATTGTAATTATCCTAAAGGGGCCAGTACCAAGTTCAAGTTTTAAACAATAAAATCATACATCTTGGAAAGCATAAAAGCAGCTGAGGTGTTTGAGTAGTTTCCATCTCACTTAACTCCTTCACACACATTTGTACAGCGCTGTATTGTATTTTAACATTAGTCTAATTTGGTATTTTTGACGGAGAGCATTATACCTCCAACACAGCTGTATTTTTGGCAGGAGATTTGCGTCACTATTGTATTGCTCGGATTGTAAATCATTTGCATTTTGTTGTCAGTGTGGCGCGGCTTATGCAGACTAGTGAAATGTTTTGTCCCTTTGTTGTTTGCTGCCTCATTAAAAAGACTGATGTAAAGTCCCTCTGCGTTACTGTAAGACTGTGACCAAACTAAATGTCTCGGGAAATAATGTCTTTTGGCCTTTTGTATTGGCCTGTGTGTTTGTTCATTGTGTTTCTTGTAGGACAAATTAACACACCACATGACTTAATATTGCATGTCCATATGTAATTATACTGGGACATAATTGTATTGTGAATAAATTAGTGAGAGAAGGTATTTTTAAATATCTCATTCTGTGGCGTGAAATGGTACAAAGATGTTTATATGGAAGTGTTTGAATACAATCTCTATACAATCAGAAACCATGTCCCAGTAAATAAGAAAAATGTCACCTTCAATTCTTTTAACTAAAGTTTTGGATGAATTAATTCAAAATTCCCATGTCCCCATTATGCAATATATTATTTATTTTATCTATTTTATTTTATTTATTTTATGTATTTTATGTATTTTATTTATTTTATTTATTTTATTTATTTTATCAATTTTATCAATTTTACTAAATAAAATAAATACAATAATTGTATTTATTTTATTTATTTTGTTTATTTTATTTATTTTATTTATTTTATTTATTTTATTTATTTTATTTATTTTATTTATTTCAGGCAAACACCTAATTTAACTTTTTGTTCATGCGCCACCTTGTCCCATCAATCTATCTTCTTTCGCTTAATCCGTTGCCGGTCGTGGAGGCTGCGTGTCCTGGACCTTCCCTGGGGTCTCCTAGTGGGACCCTCAGGGATCATCAACTCTTAACATGTAGGAGCAGCGGGTCTACTCTGAGCTCCTCCTGCATGACTAAGCTCCTCAACCTATTTTTAAGGTTTTTTATCTCTAAGGTCAAACGGTTCTATGGAAATCCAAAGTTAAAACGTCAAGCAAATGTCCATTGAGATTTAAAAATTTATAATTAAAAAGATTTACTGTCAATGGAAAAAAATCAATGGGATCATTAAGTAAAACAAGTCAGGGTTGTAGATCCTGCTGTATAGACGCAATCATTTCGGCCAAAAAGTCACACACTGATAAATTTTGTATGTTCTGTGCAGAAACGTATCCTGGGGAACTATTGCAACACAAACTTCAAGACATAACACGATTTTAACAGATGTAGTGCCCGTTTACGGATCTTCCTCTGGTTTGTTTGTGGCATATGTACTTAAACGTTAACATCAAAGCAAAGTATTTACAGTGCGAGATCTCTTCAGTGTGTAATTACCCCAACACTCGTGCTGAGAGTCAGGTTTTTGCAGCGGTGAATCAGAGACTGCTGGGTGCGCCCAATAGTGGATGTGAGCATTTCAGCTGCTAACAAGCCTCTATCTCCGTTGCATTGTGGGTGTTTTGTTGAGCAAGAGCATATTGTCAGTGTGAAAAGCCCTGCAGCAATGTCCCAGCCCTTGTATTGCGTTTTAAGCTGCTCTACAGAGAGAGGGGAGACAACAACAAAACGCTGGCACAGGCTGGAGCTCTAAACACCTTGTAAACAATGTGAATGTGCCGGTGAGCGCTGTCATGTTCTCTTACAAACAGATGGAGGTAACAATATAGAAGTAAGCTGGAGCTCTCGTGGCCAAACGGATCAACAAACACAGGAACAACAGCTTAAAATGACAACATTGCCTCTGATTCAGTGATAAAAGTGTAATAAAAGGTTCTAGTGTTGCCTCTTCAGGATCACTCTGTCAGCCTTGTTTGTGTTTGTTTATGTTCTTTTAAACTTTTTTTTAATCAAATGACTATAACTGTGTCATCCTCGCTGTGTGAAGGAGAGGTTTCGCAGGTCCTTCCTCCCTGCTGCTGTCAGGCTGCACAACGAGAATGTACAACAATAACTACTCAGTCTGTACGATTGTCACTGATAAGAATTCATTAGTAACTTAATCACTAATCACTTTACTTGTTATTATTATTACTGCATTATTATATATCCATCTGATACCTCTGTCATTCAACAGTCACTTTACCTGTTGATGTTATTACTGATGTTTATTCTGCTCATATTCTCCGCTGCTAAAGTACAATATACACATCTGTAAATACTTCTGAACCAAGTGTAATTATAGCTCCAGATTATCTTAAATAATAGACTCTGTTTGATGTGTGCAATCTGAGTGCTTTCCTTCTTTCTCTGCTGTAATGTGCGCAACGATGACACTGAAATTTCTCCATTGTAAGACGAAAAAAAGGAATTTCTTATCTGTCGTTCTTACTGAGTTCATATAAGGGGAATCTACTGTATATACTACTAGTGCTATATGAACCAACTCGAACTAGAATGAGCACAGGGACTGGCCTCCTGCTGGTGCCCAGAGTCAGAACTTGCATGCAGAAGACAGAGTCAGCTAAAATCTGGTCGGTTTTAGTTTTCCTTAAAATGTGAGACGGGCTTCTTCTTTGACAATGTTCGAATCCAAGTTAAAAACAGTTTTGCCTAGTGTGATCTTATTTTTTTCAGCACTTTGAGTTGCCTTGTGTATGAACTGTGCTATACAAATAAACTTGCTGGTGGTAGGGGAAACCGGAGCACCTGGAGAAAACCATCGCAGACACTGGTTGAACATGCAAACTCCACTCAGAAAGGCCCTTTTCCGACCGGGATTCGAACCCTCGCCGAGAAATTCCACCAGATTCCAAAATGCTTGTATTGCATTTTGTCCAAATACAAATTGTAAGGAATTTGATACTGATTCTGCTTGGGCAAATCTCATCTTCAATTATTTTTTGGAAGAGTTCAAAATCAAAAGAAAGCCCAAATCAAAGAAAGACGTCAGATTGGCAACGATCGAAGATTTTTGTCCATATTCACCACAGAGCAGAGATTGTTACCGTTT